ATCTATTTATATAAAATAAATTACATAGAGAGATATAACTAACATGTCTACTATATCAACTATGTCTAATATGTCAGCTATGTCTAATATGTCAACTATGTTTAATATGTCAGTTATGTCACATATGTCTGACATATCATATATATCATTTATGTCAAATTAGTTAATCTTTTGCACTACATAGACTACATCACATTTACCTGTTCACAGTATTCAAAATTTTAAACTAATTTTACTATTTATATAACTTAGAATTTAAAATTTATTTAATTAAATTTAGTAATAAATTTAAAAGCAAATTAGATATATTATTAAAGTTCTAAATAAATATAGATTAATTTATCAATTGTATTAATCTAAAATATTTAAATTAAATTATAAATTTAATTTAATACTAAATTAGGTTTTAATTTTGATTTGATTTAATTAACTAGCTAATTTAATTTATTATTATTCTAATTGAATGATATATTATTATTTAAAGAATAATTTATTATCATTTTAATTAAATACATTATTATTTAAGAAGAAAAATTTAGGTGATGAGAATCATTAGAGTATCTAAAGTATTTTTTAATTCACAAATCTTAAAATCCAGTAAAATATATTATTAAAAAAGTATTATATAAATAAAATGTATACTTTAAAATATTATATCTGATTCCAGTTTTTGATTGACTATATTATATATACAGATATATAATATATGCATAATTTACAGTAAAATAGAAGTGTTCTATACTTATGCTTCAGATAATTAATAAGAATAATTTATTATTATTATAGTTTAATTATTTAATAAGTATAATCTATTTTTATCTTTTTGAATGTTATATTATCATTCAATAAGAATATTTTATTATCATTTAAAAAGAATAATTTATTATCATTCTTATTAAATGATTAAAATACCTTTCATTTATCTAAAGTAGCTTAAATACTTTCAGATTAAAATATAATATCTGATCAGATTTAAAAAAATATCAATCAGATTAATTAGATAATTTAAATGATCTAACCTATTTGAAACTTTATATATATAATCAAATTTTAAAAAGAAATAAAGTATGTGTAAAAGTTTTAATTTCTTTATTTATTATTTAAAATGCACAAATAGTGTTAATCTTAATAAAATATATAATAATTATAATGCTAAAAATAAAAAATAACAAATTAATAAAATATTAATATTTATAGTAGTCAGTCATATATTCTTTGCATTTCATATAAAAAGTTTTAAAGTAGTATGTTTAAATTTAATATAATTTATAATATTATTAATACTAATATTAAAATCTAATTTCACCTAAATAAATAGTAAAAATTATCTTAGCTTTTATCATCTTGTGAAATTTAAACATATTTGTAAAAAGCAGATGCAAATAATCTTATTACATTTTTTTCCATTTTCTTAAAGATGCTTAATATTTGACCTTAACTATTTCCTTCTGCTATACAATTATGCAATTTACTAAAATATTAGGACCGTTCATTAAATATTATAGACAACATATTCTTTTCTTTTTCTTGAGATCGTGTTCGAGCTTAAGCATTACTTTTTAAACGTTGGAGCCTTTTTTCCTTAATAATTATAGTCTCCTCTAGTATTTGATTTTTGAAGAAAATCGAGAATGGTTTCTGATGATGTTGCTATTTGTTATATTTATACACTTAAAACCATGACGTTTGAATGATATCAACGATTATTTTTGCGTTGGTTCATTAATAGAAGATTTAATCTTATCGGAAAAATGCTGGGGAAGGTTTAGTTGCATATTTCTGATGTGAAGTAGGTGAAATGAAAGTAAAGGAAGAAGGTTGTAGGTTGGAAAAAGGTTGGAAAATAAATCTTTTATCTTCTTTGTGCCTGAAGTTGAATTTCATTTTTATTTGGCGCAACGTTATGACTTTCTACCACATATTGTCTAAAGTATTTTTGTGGTTTGGAATAAGGCAAACGATTTTTTTTTTTTATCGTCAAATTTGGTGCGTACATCATAACAAAAAAGAAACAACGCTTAATAGTTAAAACTGACATGTTTTATTTAAAGTAAAAAAAAATATAATTGATATAAGAAAATTAAAATTAAAAGGTGCTTGACTGGTATTCGAAACCAGTTTAGAAAACAACCAAAAGGTAGAACACGTACAAAGTAAATTCAAATTTTACGAAAATATGTTTTTTTTTTATGTCTATAATACTAATAAAATGTTTATGGTAAGAATTTGTCAAACATATTGCCGTTTTTGACATTTTTTGAAGTTTTTCATGTTTTTCATTTTTCTTGACCTATAATCGAAATCTACATCTGTATCACTATCCTCGTACGCTCTGTGATTTGCTGATTGCTTCAAATTAGCAGATGCTTCTGCAATACGGAGCGTTTCTTCTTCCATCTGTTTTGCAATATCTTCAGGTTTCATGTTTATATATTTTGAGACCAATTCATAAATCTTTTGTGGAATCATGTCAATTTCGTTGCGATATAAAACCATAGTCATCATAACTTCACAAGGAGGCAACAACCTTTCGGGAATTTGTTCAAGAATATCTCGAGGGAACTCAACTTCAGGATTTTCGACCACACCTTTAAACATTTTTTTAATCTGATAATGAGTACAATAACCAAGTTCAAGATGTACGTCCATGCGACCAGGACGAATACAAGCAGGGTCAAGAAATTCAACGTGATTTGTCGTCATGATGATGATATTTCCTTCAGCTAATATATGACCATCCAAATATCCCAAGAAAGTTGATAAACTAAATCGTGGTTTATCTTCTGATTTATTTTGTTGATCCGAAGATGAGGAATCTTCAGTTCTTTTGTGAAGTACTTTAGATTGGGTGTCGACATCTTCAAGTACAATAAGGTTATTAGGGGGAACGCCACTAAACGCGGCGCTTAAATCATTATCATCCTTGATGTTTTTAAGATTTAAGTAATAAATATCACGAGATAATTGTGAAGAGATCGCATTCACCAAACTAGTTTTTCCCGTTCCCGGCTTTCCATATAATAGAATACCACGTCGATAAGGCAATCCAATTCTTTCGTAGAAACTTTTATCATTTATAAACGTTTCTAATTCCTTTCTTAATATTAATTCAAGCGGTTCATCTAATGCGACCGTATCCAAACCTCTAATTGAAGATACGTTTGCACGTATTCCCAAACGCAATAATTTCGTTCATATCTCGAACGCCCTTTCATTCTTTTCTGATCTTCTTTATGAGCTCGTGTTACTTCATTTAAAAATTCTGTTATGGCATCAACGTTCGTACTGGAATCTTTAAAAGTTGTCAAGAAAATTGAAGGTTTTGCTTTTGATGATTCGTTTTTGTTATTGTGATTGTTATTACGATCATTACGAACTTCATCA